TCGCGATTTTACGACTGCGCATGTGATTTACGATTTTATCATTGCACTCAAGAATAATATGCGAGATCTATATTTTTCGGTCACGATGAAAAAATACATTTGAAATCATTTTCTTTTAAATTTTAAACGAAGATCTTTTCAACCTCTGTTTCTGCAGGATTGAAACCTCATGTTAAAAATACTAACTTTGAAACGCTTTTTACGACTTATAGGAATTATTATTTTTATTAATGAAGGGGTCATGAAGAATGCAGTTTTGGAGTGCCCTCGCCGGCACTCGAACTTTTCGAAGGAACGCAGAAAGTAGGGAGAAAATATCCTTCATACTCTCCCTTTAAAAAGGCGACTGGGGATGAGGAGACCCAATTGCCAAATCCTGGTGGTGACGAATAATCGTTCACCACCTTTTATTTTAGGCGCCACTAGAGTCCTTTAAAATTTTTTGATGTCAAGAAATTGAAGAAATCCGCAGTGCTCTCGCCGGAATTGGAACTCCAGACCCCCGATTATGCGTCGGACGTGCTTCCAGTTACAACACGAAGGCAAGCGGCCTTATTCTAGGTTACGAATGAATTTTATAATTATTCTGTAATATTACAAGTCGTTTTTATAATTGTTTTCACACAGAAAGCTGGTGCTTTATCGCAGTCTGTTTGCATTAGTGTTTCTCGAATTTTTATCCTTGTTAAATGCTCAAAATAAAACTCATGTGTCAAAGAACTCTGCGTTAAAATTATTACATATGATTAAGCACGGTTAATCCAATTCCTCGCTATTCTCAGAGAAATCTTTAATAATTTCTGACTGAAAACGAGAGTTCCGAGGAATTCCGTTTGATAAACGCTGATTTAGACCATATTGAAAACATGGCAAGTATTTTAACATTACTATGCATCTCTGAAGTAGCAGGTGTTCATCATGAAACACTTGCAGGCTGTCAGGTGTTATTTACAGCTGGACTTTTTAGCTCACCTCTAGCGCACTTATTTATAGATTTCTAAATTTTCTATGTTTATAGGCTAAGCTATTCTATTCGGCTATAAAAAAAGCAAGAAATATATTTAAAAAAAGTCCTCTGAAAAACGCTTTTGCAACAAATAAAATACCGTTAGAGAAAGCCATGCCAGCCCTTACTATTTATTTTATTTTTAAAGATGTCAACAGGTTGCTTGCCCTCAGTTGCTGTGTTTACTTGCAATCGATTTTTTTTTAGCTTTCTTCTCTTGCGCGGGCACCAGCTGCTCTTAGAAAAAATCAGAAAGAAGTGGAGTAAAAAAAAAAAAAATGAAACATCCCCCAAAAAACGCGCCTGTTCCATCCCCACGTTGCGTCAGAAGGGTGGGATATCTTCAAAAGATGCGGAAGTAAACGTTTACCGTTATGCAAGCCTATGTGATCCCCTCTCTTTCTAAGTATTAAGCTTTTGTTCGGACTTTGGAGCAAAAAATGCACTTTTTTGGCATCTGATTTTGCCGCAAGTGTAAGCTTTATTCCTTTTTTTCTCCACCCTAGCGCCGCGTTTCTAGAGTGGGGAAGGCAAGAGAGAAAGAGGGAGAAATTATTCAAGACGCCCAGCTCTATGACCGTGAAAAGTTCAAAAGGACAAGTTCACGCAGAGATGCAATCTCTGTTTAGAGGTCTCTTCTATTGTCGATGTGTATGACCGCCGTTATCTAGACATCTCAGCTGTATGAAAGAGCGCATGCGCGATAATTAATCCTATCGTCATTTATTAGTACTCATTGTAACAACGAGAGTTCAGCATTGGGATAACAAAAAAATAAAATGCTAACAATCGAGGTGCTGTTATCATCGTGTTTGCATAGTTGTGCCGCACTCATTAGAGAAGCAATTTCTATCAACAAAAGAGCGCTTAAATGAAGCAATGTTTTTATTTGCAATATTCCGTCGAATGTGTATCTGAAAGAAACGTTATATGTAACTTTTAACAAATCGGAAAACTGAGAACAACGTGAACTCAGTTGTTAGTGGGAAACGTCTATACTGAATACGTGAAATTAAAATTAAAGAGCAAAACCTATCGGATACCGTTTTCCAATTGTTAAGTCCAGATTTAAACTACATATAGATTTCGCAATAATTATTTTCTTCAATGCACATTCGCTGTTTCTGCAAAACAATATACTGTCGTTCAGATTGATTTCAGAATTTTAGATCGGCCGTATTTTTACTTAATTAAAACTGTTCTTGCTGAAACTTTATAAAACATTGAAACTGTTTTATAAATATATATTTTACTAACTAAAAGCAAGTTGATTTTACAAGATGCTTTCAGCCTTTGAACACATGAAAATTAAAAGTTAATTTCAATTAATACGTATAAAAAAGGAAGTGAATCCGAATAGTATGTATTGTGTCTTGAAGATTTTTCAGCTTATTTATATTTTTAATTTAATGAACGAAGCTTTTTATTTTATCTTACTAAAACGTTTTATTAGTAAAAGTCTCCGTACGATCGTTAAAAAATTGAAAATTGCTTTTATTTTTATTTTATTCAGTAAATGAACTAAGTTAAATTGTAGCATTGTTAAACTAAGTTAACTAGTTAAATTACTCTTATCACTAAAATTTCAGATAGAAATGTTGTCTAATTTACGCTATTAAACCAACTTAAGAAATCTAAATAATAATTTTCAAAATATTATTTACACCAACTTTAATATAAATATGTATAAATGCAAGAAATCTTTATTTCAGTATTAAAACAAGAACGAAATATTTAAATATTTTCCCTCAGTGAATATAATATTAAAAATACGAAGTAATGAACTGGATGTGTTAGATTTTGAGAAGTTGCCTTTTTATTTTCAATAATTTTATCTATCTTTTTTTAACTCAATTTTCTTTCATTATAATTTTCAAATATAGCACTCGAAGAGCAAACAAATCAAGATAGTCAGAAATCTGTGATCTGATTCAGTATTACTTTTTTACTCTTTTCATACAATTTAGTGATCAGAAATACTGTCTTCCACGATTTTGGGTGGCCAGTGTTAACTTAATTTGCCCATTTTTGCAATGATCAGAATTTGCATATCAAGGATATAGAAAGAAAACTATGATACATGCAGTATCTCTTGCACCACTTCTATACAACTTACCTTGAATAACATTCAAACACACAACTCATGGGTACTTGCTGTCCACAGGTCACGTTTCGTGAACAAATTTTGCTGCGGTAATAAAATAAAAGTTTTCCGAATACACACTATTTTCCTTTTTTGGCTAAATAAAGTAATACATTTTTTACATTTTTCCTCTCAATAGGAAGAATTTTATAAATTAAGAAGTCTTAAAATTAATTGCATTAATCAACAGTTTAAAAAGATGCTTATATTAGTTTATTTTCCTACGGTTTTTAACTATATATATCATAATAAAGAAGCACAAATTTTAAGTGCACAGATAGAGTATACATTAACAAATGATTAACTGACTTGAAAATAAAAAAAAATTAAAAAAAAAAAATCTGAAATGTTTCAGATTTTAAATTACGTCTAAAGGCGCGTTTTTTTAACATTTTGTGTGTTACCTTTCTTTATTAAATATCATGTTCCTCGCACTTAAACCATAAGATCCAGTGCAACAGCAATATCGCAAAATAGTTTTAAAACGAGCATATCTTTAGAATTTCCGATACAGAGACTCACGCGCTGGAGATAAAAATGTTTTTTCTGCACAACGTTGCCATTGCTCGCTTTGAAATCCTTGAGTTTGTTAATAAAAAATTCGTCAAAGTTTTTAAAAAATAGGAAATCGATCATAAAACAAATTTCAAATTTCAAATTTGGTCTTCCACATGCTCATATTCGTTGGAGGATTACGTTATTCAAAATTCGATGACTCTATGTACCGTTGTTTTATCACAATACGAGAAATATACATACATTTATGCAGATTTTCATTATTTAATTTCTTCAAATATAATGCAGGACTCTAACATTTTGTGGCAACAGTTTGAAAAGTGAACCGACATTTATGAGTCCGACGCAAAATGCCAAAACGAAACTAATAGTCCTTCGGGATTCAAATCCCTTTGGACTAAAAAAAAAAAAAATCTGAAATTTTTCAGATTTTAAATTACGTCCAAAGGGGCGTTTTTTTAACTTTTTGAGTGTTACCTTTATTTATTAAATATCATGTTCTTTGCACTTAAACCATAAAATTAAGTTCAAGAGCAATATCGCAAAATAATGTTAAATTAAGCATATCTTTAGAATTTCCGATATACGCAGTCTCGCGAGCTGGAGATAAAAGTATTTTTTTTCTATATAACGTTGCATTTTCTCGCTTTTAAAGCATTGAGTTTGTAAATCAAAAATTCGTTAAAGTTTTACAAAATATAAAATCTATAATAAAACAAATTCCAAATTTGGGATTTCACATGCCCATATTCGCAGTAGTATTTCGTTATTCAAAATTCGATGACTCTATGTACCGTTGTTTTTATCACAATGCGAGAAATAGACATCATTTATGCAGATTTTCATTATTTATTTCTTCAAATATAATGCAGGACTCTAACATTTTGTGGCAACAGTTTGAAAAGTGAACCGACATTTATGAGTCCGACGCAAAATGCCAAAACGAAAGCAATAGTCCTTCGGGACTGAAATCCCTTTGGACTAAAAAGAAAGTTAGGTTTTTAAAACAGAAAGTTAGATTTCGTGCATTTTAATGTTTATGTGAATTACTAGAAACTGACCGATAACTCCATTTTAATCTGATTGATTCAAATGAAATGTCATATTTATTAATTTATAATTAACCGAGGAATTAATATATCGACAAATGAAATATTTCCACAATTTTCCAACATTTTACTAAAGATGTATATTCTAACTGCAGCATCATTTTATATATACGTCTCTGATATACAAGTATTATCGGAGTTGAAACATTAAAAGCTTTGTTGTTTGCGTATTGTTTTCATATTATCGTAGAAAGTAAATAATAATAATATAATTATTATTTTTTAGGAAGTTGTTCTTCTGATCCTGCCTGAGAAATGTAGATACTTTTCATATCTTCATACATCTAAAATGTTTTAGAAAGCCAAAATTCACTTCTCTCATACTGAGTTCAGGTAAGTAAATCAAAAGTAATTTTAAACGAGTGTCTTTCTGATACAAAACAATTCTACTTCCTCTTATACATTTTAATATTTATAGATTATTAAGTATAAATAAAATTTTAGATTCATTCAGAAAATATGTAGTAAGATTTAGTCCGATTATGCGGGCAACAAAATTTAAGTATATTTTTCCATACCACATAATTTCGGTTCAAACTACGTGGCAGCATATAAACTATTAAAATCGTCTAGATGTCAACTATTTATGAAATACTCATTCTTAGCATTGATTATAACATTTATAAAGCGCTTATTTTCAAGATTTAACGTTAACTATAAATATGCATTTAGTTCACAAACGCACTTTGTTTTAAATCTGAATAATATAATTATGATAATATATAAACTTACGCGTATAAATCTAATCTATAATCCCGCTTTAAAATCCAAATCATGGTGTAGCTGTACATTTTTGTATTTGTTTCTTACAGGCATGATTGCTGTTATCACTTCTGATGAAGATTTCTGGAATATTGTAAGAAACTGTATTAAAACAATATCGTTTCTGACCCGTACCAAATTTCTTAAGACGGCTGTCATTAGCTGTTAACGTCCAATGAATTCATAAATAACCAATGGGATTAAGAGTGTAGCGACATTAGTTTCATTTTAAGCACGGCGATGTAAAAAATGAGCAATAACGATGCCGGGACTCGAACCTCGGGCCTCTCGAATACGCGCCGAGTGTACTGACCATTACACCACGAAGGCATGCTAAGAAGGCGAGAGAAATACCAAGGTTATAAGACTTGCAAAACTGAGATTTATGCGAGCTACTGAAGAACAGGGAACTAAGCCCGTTTGCTAAGCTATCAAATTCAAGAGTTACCTTAATTTAAATTTTAAAAACATTTAAAATTAGTTAAATCGAAGTATAATTATTTATATAAACTACAAAAACAAAACAAAAAACAAAAACCAAAAAAATTGTGTTATTCTTTCAGAATAGAACTTATATCACATATTAATGTAGAGTATATTTATATATGAGTTTTCAGAGATGTTCTTCTGAATCAGGCGTATCTTTTGCTACTCGTCTTCTCAAAAAAGTATAAAACTGAGATCGCCAAAAAATCAATTTATTAGGTACCAGGAGTTGTTGAAAGTAAAAAGAGATTTTTCATAGCAAGAAAGACTAAAAAAAAAAATGAAATAAAATGAAGTTAAGTAATTTATAAAATAAACTTTTATTTAAAAATAATAAAACAATTAGAAGAAGAATAGTAATTTATCATTCATTTTCATGGCAGCAATAGAATAAATATGTGTACACTTTGTAGATTTACAAAATTCGTCTACAAAGTGTGGGCGTCCTAATAACGAAATAAAATAATAATTTAATTGTATTGTCCAAAAGCCATTATCTTTAGAAATTTATAAAGGACCCTAACATTTTCATTATTCGTGATGTAAAACTAGATGAATTTTGTAAAGTGAAATTATATAATCTCTTTATCTCATGAAACTAAATGTTCATCAGATCAAGAGAATATTTTAGATGATAAGAAATTATTTTTCTCCTTGTGTTCATTAATTATTTTATGAATTTTAAATAAAAGTTTATTTTATAAAAAAATTTACCTGATTTTATTTTAAGCCTACCTTACTGCATGCTTGTCCATCCTTCAAAGGCAAGCTATCGTTTTCTTCCTCATTTTGCATTTCAAGCGTAGAAGCTTAATTCTTACCATACAAATAAACGCAATTCAGTGTTGCACGTCGTCATTGTTAACATCTATTCAGTGCTTTCTAAATAGTCATGGGTCATTAACAATTATCCAGTGATTCCTAACTAGTCAAATAACGTAGAAAATAAAAACGGTTTCATCGTTTCATTACGCAGTGCAAAGCTATCATTGTTTTTCTCTTCATTTTCAAGAGGAAATTTAAGTACTCACCTAAAATCTGTGGGGCGTTTCAGGTCATAAGAGGTGTTCGCATTAGCTAACAACCAATTAAGCATATGTGCAGCGAGCGATGCGAGTAAAGAGCATGGGGTAGAGGTCGAATAACAACGGAAGCAGAACGACCCCGAATTTACTGTGGGAATATCAGAAAGAAACTTCACAGTAATATTACCTCCCTTAGTTAAGGCTACATGAAAAGGAAGATGCAATAAAATCAGCTTTTTCATTTTAGATTTGCTATGATTATAAGACCTAATTTTAATCAGCATAGGATTTTTTGTAAAGATAAAACATAAAGTTATTATTCTGTGTTTGCCCCTACAACTAGATATTCGTTCTATATTCATTATAATTTTATGAAATATTTTTGATTAATATATAAATTTCAGTTAAAGTTGAAAAACGTATTTTTTCTTGTCTTCATAGCTAGTTATTTAACCTCTATGAATACTTTTCAGAAGATCAGAAACATACGTTTTTATGTTAGCAGTAGTGCAGCTAAAGGGAGGGAGAGATCCACCCCGGGTGGTACATTCTTTAGAGTGGCATTTTTTACATGAAATGTTACTTCACAGAGAGCCTAGTTATGTGGATCGCCAAGGCAAGTGAAGAATAATGAGATTGAGAACTGCCAAACGAAATTAAATTGAAAAAAGAAACAATTTTTTGCTCTACACGCAATATTCAAAGAAATCCCTATGAGATTTCAACATCTACAAACTCTTTTTATACTCTTTTTACCTTGTAGAAATTTTTGAAAGAAAAATGTGAATATCAACTTAATTTTGATCACGGTGGCGTCAATGAGAAAACGCTTTATCGTTAAGAGAGCATTATTTCAAAGTTTTGTTTACGTTATTGATAGGGGAAAACGAAACAGGAAGAAGAAGAGCGGTTCTTTTGGACTTTTGCAATTAATTCCAAAATTACAATCTTTAAATCAAAGTTACAAAATTGTAATACTGTGAATTCCTCAAATTGATGTAAGTGTTGCTTATTTTGAAAATAGATTTCTGGATAGAAGTTATTTGCAAAGTATTTAAGGCCTGCAAATATATACTTCGCTTTTAAAAAACCTTTCTATACCATCGTAGTCCTAACTGCAAATGGAGCAATGAAGTAGACCTGTAAAATATAATCGATGGTTTTGCGGACAAAACGCAAGCAAAGTATTATTTAAAAATATTGAAATTAGAATTTTACTTCATAAATAAACATAGAAGTTTTAATTTATTTCCCAGCATGCCATTTTGGCGTTTTACAGTTATATGCTTGTGTATCGAGACTTGCAGCAAATTTCGAGAGCGCCCCAGGCAGCGAAAGCTCTGGCTACAACATTTTATATTAGCAGTTTTCTTAATGTCCTTTTAAAGTGTGTTAGGTTAAATTAGATTAGTTATTGGAATTTGGTGAAGCACATAAGGGCTATCTGTCTAAAGGAAGGAAAGCCTCCGTGAAGCATTTTTTAATGGAAACTGGTTTGCATCCATTATACATTGGGGAATAAAGTTTGTTTGAACGATATGGAATATAGTTCTCGATATGGAAGTTAGATATAGAAGATTTCCTTTCTCGAACAATCCTCCACCAGTCGTCGATTGGTTAAGATCGCTGAATACTGGTAGTTTGACTCGGTTTCAAAGAATAATCGTGTTCTTTACCGCATTCAAATAATCTAGCTTAGTAAATGATTTTTAAAACCATATTCTTTTATATCATTTCCGTGTTTCTCTGATTCTATCTAACGTAATTTTAAATTTTATCCCTTTCCTTAAAGTACATGTAGAGGATAAGCAGGGGTTCGATAGTTAAAGATTTAAATGATCCTTGCTATATCATCATTTTATTTAATTCTGCATACACCAATCACTGATTTCTAAACGTGCAAAATTTCAGATTGATCATTAAAGAGTTTCTCAGTTGATAATAATAATTAAATTCTAAAACATACAATACTTTAAACGCAAAAGAATCACTATATTATTACGCAAATTATCAAACTCTTCATTAATTTAAAGTAAACTGATAAATAATTTTGAATTTCTTTGCAATCGCATAATAAAAATACGTTAAAGTGGTTTCTCCACTGCGCACTTTTACAATGGCTTTAATTTGAACAACCAGTATATAATTTAAAGTATTATTCTCATTTTACCTTATACCTGCACCTGATATTTATCAGAGAGTGGATGAAGAGAAATTCTGGATCGACCTTCCCCGAGGGGATAGTCTACTTAGCGTCCTTGGTTGAGAGACCAGTGAGAACGGTAAGTCGGCGGAGTCCTGATAGTTAAAAAATTAGAAAGGTATAATGAATAGACGTTGGTTCTGACCCTGAAGACAAAATCATTAAGATTACTTCTGGCTGGCGCCTTTATTCTGTCTTCTGTTCTTGTAGAGTTGGTAGTTCTGAAAGTCTTATAAACTCGTTGGCTTCTGTTACACTTGAGGCAGCCAAAAAAGCAACAAATAATATTATGAAGATTACATAAAATTATCTTTAGAATTTAGAACAGAATATATTTAGTTACTAAAAATTTGAATGTCAATAATTTAATCCCAGTATCAGCTTGTTACTACTCTTTAATAACTAAAGTTTTGAATGAAAGTGTCAAAGATATCACCAATTGCTGTGATTACACGGTACCCTTTGATATATTTATATCGCTTAATTCGAAGAGTGTAAAATTCAGAATGTAAAAATTAAAATGTAAAATTGAAAACTATTTAGAAACTAAAAATAATTGTAGACTTTGTACATAACTCTATCGATTTTGAAGCAATCAGATATATATCCTTCTTCTTCAGGAACAAAAACGTTTTCCTTCTGAAGCCCCATTTCGTGATATTTTAATGATCTTTCAATTGTAAAAATAAAAAAAAGAGTAATTTTACGTAAAAAAAAATCATAAGTAAAGACTAAAGGAAAAATATCTTCAAATTTACTAGCAAATTCAAAGAAATTTTTTAAAGTATGAATATTATTAGAAAGTAACGCAGAAATTCTAGATAGCTAAAGGATATTACGCTATACATAAGTTAAAA